GCCAACTTTTCCATGGATTGTAAGATGGAACACTAGGACTGAACCAGTTTTCTTAGTAAAGCTGATCATGTATAGTATAACTTACATATTATAATATTGGATGTTATACTAATTGAAGCAATTAAGTTTCCCTATTGCTATCATAGTTGATATCCCTGTCAATGAGAAGTTACACTGTATTGAGATCTGGGCCTACTCCTTGACAGCATGGAGCAGGAAATCAATTCAAAGTTAACATTATTGTTGTAATAGACAAGATACAACTTAAGACAAGGTAATACAACTTTTCTAATATAAATCCCGATTCTTAGTATCACTTATTTCAATGTTAGCTAGGATGCCATACAGCACTAGTTCTGATAACCTAGCTGATCTGAAAGTGAAAGTAGAAATTACATGCCAATCTCATTTGGGTGATAAAATGCAATTTTCTTTGAAAGGTGCCAACAAATATTTTTCTCTTGTAAATTGGACATCAAAATAAGCAGGTTCCACTGTATATTGAATTTTATCTCTGTCTTTATAAAAAAAACTACCAGATATTATGAGAGGATATGGATCAGACAATGTCTCATATGAGCCTCTGACACAGATGAGCTAAAAAGTTGATAGATGACAGATCGTTGGAATCAGTGCCAAAGTACAAGCTCATAAGTCAGAGGAGCTGAATAGGTACAACCAGTAAACACATGTATCCGATCGGAAAGTTGTGGACTGGATAAAATAAACTCAGTCACCTGTAAAGAAAGGGAAACAGATGGAAAGTGAAAGGATGAAGGATGGGTGTTTGATGAGCTCTTAGATATAGTATAACATATACAAAATAACAATGTTATTTTACTTAATGTCCTGTTGCTTATTAGAATATTTCTGTAAGTATCATGTTTTCCTAAAGCAAAGTTATTAGTTTTATATGATTTTATATGAACTACTTTGAATATTATGGTTTCTTGTCAGTAACCCAACAAAGTTCATCTTCAAAATATGATAAAAACAATGGTGACCTTGTAATTGCCATTGGTGTTGCAGGGTTATCTAACCTGAGGTGTGTGGACATACAGACCTAGCTAGACATGTCTAAAACCTGAGGTGTGTCGACATATAGACATAGCTAGACATGTCTACCAGGTTTGCGGAAATACAGACCTAGCTAATGTCTACAAGGTATGTCGACATACAGACCTAGCTAGACATGTCTACAAGTAGTCTTTGGGGGAGTCTTCATTGGCCGACATAATTTCTTAAAATATTACCTTTACTGTATTTACCATCTGAAAAAAAAGGCGAAAAATCAACTTGAAGGTAGTGTATCCACACCCATTTCAAAATGGTGGGTGACTTTGATGGTGGCAGCTTTGATACAACTAGCTGGGTACTGTCCAAGTTTACATAGAACTAGTGCCAATACATGAAAAATGGCATAAGATTGTGAGATAGTAGAACTGATCGTAAGTCATCTTATCGCCCAATCTTATGTGTATGATACAGCAGGGTTTAATCTTACTTACCACGGTACTACTTTTTAACTTCAATTTTTGGCACAATGAATACCGTTGCACTGCATACATTTAGTTTTCTTAAAAGATCAGAACTGATTTCCCAAAGGTGTCTCTATTTATTCCATTTTATTTCACATAAAAAACATACGACAATCAATTTGATGTGGGCAATCAAAAATTTTGTACCAAGCATGTCCCCTTGACAACGGCCCCAGTATATTACCTGACAGTAGTCACACAGGAGTCGCACAGTAGTCACACAATAGTCACACAGGAGAAACACAGTAGTCACACAGTAGTCACACAGGAGTAACACAGCAGTCACACAGTAGTAACGCAGTAGTCACACAGGAGTCACACAGCAGTCACACAGTAGTCACACAGGAGTCACACAGGAGTAACACAGTGGTCACACTGGAGTAACACAGTGGTCACACTGGAGTAACACAGTAGTCACACAGTCTAGCTAGGTCTGTATGTCCACAAACCTTGTAAACATGTCTAGCTATGTCTGTTTGTCCACATACCTTGTAGACATGTCTAGCTAGGTCTGTATGTCCACAAACCTTGTAGATATGTCTAGCAAGGTCTGTATGTCCACATACCTTGTAGATATGTCTAGCAAGGTCTGTATGTCCG